AAGATTTAACTGTAAAATCTCAACGAGAAGAAGTCTGTGGGTACAACAGTAGCATACATTTATATAAAATCTACATATACAAGAAATGCAAAAAAGACATGTCCTGTCAGTATGATCCTGTCAGTGCTAATCTGACATGACGTTTTAATGATCCGTTTCTACGTTATCGACATTTTGAAATCCTTAAACTTTGGTATCTCCTTCACCAATAAATGATAACATCGATATTGTTGAATTAAACGGAGCTCGACTTATAAAATTGTCGCGGCTGTTGATTTTTCAATAGTTTACGCGAATGTCCAAGTCGTTTCTCATCGGCCAAAATCAACGAGTCTCAATGTGTCACGTTTAACTCACGAGAGATTTGGCACGGCTACAGTACGAAATGAGTAATAATCCTCGAATATTCTTCCGTTCAAGTCCGCGGGAGACTGTCCTCCCGGTGTCTCGAGCTCGCGATTAAAATTGGCAAGAAATCAACGTTTCGCGACGCGACGTAACAGGTGGTCGAATTCGATTTACGGCGGACCGCGAGCGTCCTCTGATTGGACAAAGACAAACGAGCCTGTGGAAGATGCGGGTGACACGAGGGATGAATTCGATGGCTCGCTCGAAGCTGCTTTCGCGCAAGCACGAACAGAAATAGCGTCCTCCGTTACCGTTCTCTAGCATTCGCCTCCGCGGAGTAATTTTCACGAAAATGGAGACTGCACTTTGTCGGGCGACGGAAACTCAATTAAACGGGCTCAATTAGCATTCGTCAAACAGTAAGAGAGACGCTCTCGTTGATGTCTCCCATGAATACTCGAGGTCTCTTCGCCGTGCAAAAAACGCGCGTCCTGACGCGAAGGAAACTCACGCGATTGACCTTTAACGGCAAAGAGATTCGCATTGTATATTCAGAAGTTTAACCGTCACACACCGAGGCAGAGGGTGCGCAGTTTATAATTAGAGGGCGCAAACGTGATACGATTTTACAAAGGGTTTATTGGCGAGGAATCGATACGTATATTTTGCGACGTGCGAGTAAGTTTAACGCTCAGAAATTAATTAACAATTTGTCAATAGCTTTCAAATTGTGCGAGGAGAAAGAAAAAGAGGTGCGAGAGAGTACAAAGAGAAACAGATAGATAGATAGATAGATAGATAGAGAAAGAGAGAGAGAGAACTTCGAATATTGAAGCAGTTTAAGGGGATGCTGAAGCTAAAAACTTTACCGACAGAATACTGACATTTTTCTATAAAGTTTACGTCGTATTGGTTATACAGATTTACAAATGCTTTTACGCAATGAACGTACGTGCAAAAATAAATAGGAGCGTTGCTTGATATGTGACAAAAACAAACAAAAATTTTTTTATGTTAATGAACGAAAATGATAGCGTGATTATGTTAGTGACGATCGTCTCTGCATTATCGACATTGTTTGTCCCCTTAAGGGGATACTGGATGTCGATGACAAACTCGAACAATGTCGATAATGCAAAAACGATCGTCACTAACATAATCACGCTATTCTTTTTATATTTCTTGTATATACAGAACTTACATGAATGTATGTTGCTTTGTTTTACCATGTTCAACGGAAAAGCTAATCATATATGTGTAAAAATCTTTCTGCAAACTTTTTTGATATTCTTAAGTTTCCAAGTGCAGAGGCGAAAGTAAAGCAATGTTCTTCAAAATTTTGGAGCATCCACACTTTCGGTATGTACAAGCTGCGGAACTTTTGGATTAGGCAAATATTACGCTGACAGCTTGAGATTTTACATTAAAAATTTTTTATTCATTTTCGTCACATATCGAGCAATGCTCCTATTTATTATTGCAAGTATTTAGTTCGCAATTGTTCAGGAAATCAGGCATGGCCACTTTTCTTTCCTTTAAGAGTACATTGACAGAAATTATCTGATAAAAAATTGGCAAGCGGATATTTCCGGTCAAAATATCAATGTATTTTTGTATCTGATCAGGAAACATCCGTTGAGAAATATCGGTTCATAATTTTTTGATTGGTTTATCTGACGAAATGCCATCATGATCGGAAGTATTCGATTAAGATTTAATCGGATATTCTGATCGGATATAAATCGGGTTAAATTTTCATCGAACAATTTTTTTCAGTGGGGAAAAGCTGAAATATATATTCTCTTTATTCGAGGAAATTCGGAGACGGACGACTTTTCCGGTGAACGTTTCCGCGCGCACAGAAATCTGTCATATCGAGCAATGCTCCTATTTAGTTTTGCACTTTCATTACAAAAAAGTATTTGTAATTCTATATAACCAATACGACATAAACTTCGCAGAAAAATGTCAGTGTCCTGTCAGTAAAGTTTTCAGCTTCAGCATCCCCTTAACGGAACTGCGCTTCCAATTATGACGGTCCAGACGGACAACTCGTTACTGTGAACCGATTGCAGGTCAGATTATATAGACTCCGCTCTCCCATCGAACTATCCCTATTTACAACAAGAGACTCGACGGACTCGGTTTCGCGATATCACCGACATTAGTGAGTTTCGCGGGGATTCCCGTAGCCCACAGCGATCGGCGATCTGGAATCGCGAATATACACGCCTGCGCACCGTCTTCGTCCGGGAAGCACGGTCCACGTTCAAATTTAAGCTTCCTTCCGAGAATGATTAACGAGCAAACGAGCGATTCGATCTGGCGGAGGCGAGGGACTCGGTGTCAACGTATAGACTCAAGCGCTAACTTTGCGCACTACACTCCATGTCCTAAGAGAGATCGGGGAGAAGAGAGAGAAGCCCGTGTGTGAAATCGCGTGAGTGCGATACCGAGAAGCGGGCGGATACCTGAAGTAGCCGGTATATTTAGAATATGAAAAGCAAAAGTACACCTCCTGGGTGACTCTACTTGATAACGTTGATCAGTAGGTTCTTCAGTTGAATCGAAATACCGGGGAAAATCGGAATAGATTTCTGTGCGCGCAGAAATGTTCACCGGAAAAGTCGTCCGTCTCCGAATTTCCTCGAATAAAGAGAATATATATTTTAGCTTTTCTCCACTGAAAAAAATTGTTCGATGAAAATTTAACCCGATTTATATCCGATTAAATATTAATCGAGTACTTCCGATCATGATGGCATTTCGTCAGATAAACCAATCAAAAAATTATGAACCGATATTTCTCAACGGATGTTTCCTGATCGGATACAAAAATACATCGGTATTTTGATCGGAAATATCCGCTTGCCAATTTTTTATCAGATAATTTCTGTCAATTCTCTTAAAGGGAAGAAAAGTGGCCATGCCTGATTTCCTGAACGATTGCGAAAAGCCTCAGCGCTATTTATACCTTTCAAATCGTGTGTCAAATCGTCATGTTCACATTTCCCGAAACACACTCCATGTGGGTTGGATCATCCTTGCGCAATTGCGGCCAATTGTTTAATCGACCGATATCGTTCTGTTGCGGCAACGCGACGGCGACGTCGGTCTGAGGCAAAATTCGTTAGTGGCGCTCGCGTTAAATCGATGATCGACTTTTTGCCACACGCATCGTAACCAGGTCGAGCCGCTCGAGCAGCCGCTATGTAGCGATCGGAGATTCCCGCGCATCCGCCCTCTATTCACGTCAAATCGCGTCACTGTCAAACGAATGCGGACCCAGACGAACGGAGCAGATGACTTGTACGCGCGTTCATTGGCTCGTCGACGAGCTCCGACCAGAGTGTTCCCGGACTCGTAGAATCGCGTCGACGTCACCGGTGTAGCCGCTCTATTTTCGCTTATCTCGACTCCGGCCGTTCTTCTTCCTCCTTGCTTTCGATCTCGCTCTCCCTTTCTCTTTACCGTGTATTTCTGGTCCGGCTTCTCGCAAAGTACACACACACACACACACACACGCACGCGCGCGCGCGCGTGTGAGACCAAACTGCGAAGAACGGTTTCGCGCGGTACTTCGATTAAATTTATTTTCGCTTTCACGCGTTTCCCGCGCCTAGAGATTGTCTGCGGTTCCACGAAGCAACTCACGATTATACGATGATTAATCTCGCGACGAGCGGTTTTCGCAAGCTATGAAGGTGCTTCTCGACGTCTCTCAGCTCGTTTCGTCGACAAATACGCGAAGACAGACCGAATGAAGATTGTTTTAACGCGGACGTACCAAGAAACGTCTTAGGTTGAAAATTAACTTTTCTTCTCTTGAACGATATTAAAGAATTCTCGTAAATTTTATTAAGTACAGTGAATTGTATTAAGTATACAATTTTATTAAACTTTATAATACAGATTTTTATCGATAAATCCCCATCGTTAATGTTTCATTAATTTGCAGCAAGCTGAATAATCGCGATCGGAGATACTTTCACAATGTTAACTTGATTCATAGATTTTAATGTTCGCTCAGTATTCTTTTCTCAGTATTCAGTTAAATAAGGTTATTATTAATAGTGTGGAAAGCATCCTATTAGTAGTGAAAGGGTTAAACAGCGTCTAAGAAGAATTTTCCAAAAAATATGTTAATAACTACACGAAATAAGTGTTAGTTCTTGATAATCGATGACCGTTTAACGTTTCAACGTGCGGAAACAGTATCATGTTACTTCGTCGACTAAGTCCTTGCGTACTGAGAAAAGAAATCTCTGAAGAATACAAAATATTTGTGTATTCAGTAGGTGCTAACGTGTCAGCTCTGTTGGGTGTTAAAACGTTGAAATTTAGAACGTTATGCAAAATGTTAAATATTATAGAATAACACGTGAAGAATAAGCAGTGGAACAGATCGTGTAACGGCGCTAACAGATCGAAAGTCAAGCGTCTTTGTTGTCCGTTGAAGGTGCGCGGCTTTCGGCAACAAGGACGCAGAACCGCGACGCGCACTCTCACAGTCACAACAGTCCTTGACGCGGAAGTAGACACGTACTGACGGATTTTTCGAACAATGTACTACAATTTAATTTAATTATCTATGTAGAATTCGATTATATATATATATATATATCGTTATTTTGAGATTTTTTGAGGTTAATATTGACAATATCATACGATTTGAAATAAGATTGAGGTTTCTTCTTAGCAAGTTCGAAAAAATGACGAAGCTCTTAATTAATCAGAATTAATTTGTCGGAATTTTGCAATCATTGTTGTGATTATAATCGTGAAAATTATATTTTTTAGTTTCAGAAGCGACAGAGTTTGTAATCGCAGATACTATTTCGAGCAATTTTGGTGCAGTTACACCGCGTCGGAAGACCCGGCTCGGGCCGAACGAGATCGGCTCGAAGGTGAGTTCACAAATTCCCTAGTACGATTTCCCGTCTCTGGTTAACTCACAAGTAAACTTACCAAAAAATTACACTCCGATTTCTTTCTAATTTGGCACAAATGTAAAAGTACAAAAAATATCTAGGTCATATTTTTTTTAATCGTATTTTTTCATTTTGGCCCACTTTGAATTTCACAGACAGTTTATAGCTTTTTTATATTCTCACTCCTATCATTAACAAATGCAACAAAAATGCATAAGAAATAAAATTGAATACAAGATATATAGGCGTTTTTGGTTTGCTAATTATGAATATGAAGTCAAATGTGTAAAATTATTTGTATAAGTAATAAGATGTTTAAACAAAAAATGTAAAAAGTTGAAAAAAATTATTTATACAAATAATTTCTCGGTTTGGTCGAGATTCAAACTATTTTTGACTAATTTAGCACATATTTGAAATATTTTGGTTGGAATCTCGGCTAAAGAAGTTTAGAATGATTCGTGTTTCAGCTATGCCGATTTTGTTAAAATTATTTAACTATATATCTTGTATTCAATTTTATTTCTTATGCGTTTTTTTTATACTTGTTGATGATAGGAATGACAACATTAAAAAGCTATAAATTGTCCGTGAAACTTAAAATGAACCAAAATAAAAAAATATTACCTAAATATTTTTTGTGCTTCGACATTTGTGCCAAATTAGAAAGAAATCGGAGTGTACCTTTTGGATAGGTTTACTTGTCAGTACGGTCGCGATTAAGTGCAATACTGTTGGAATGGCTGCGAGATCGCGATCGCAAAGAGTGCTGCACGCATTTACCACCACGTTCCGCATATGTGTGACAGCGACAATCTTTTGCTTCACGTCACATAAATAAATGAGGTCTGTTTTACACTCTCACGTATAGATAGCAAAAAATGTAGAGTCACCTGTGACGGCTGAGTTTTTCAGCTGAACGATGGTAACTACCCCAATAAATAAAGAACATTAGATTAACATCTTGAAATATTCATTTTACGCGTATCTCTTGGACACATTTTCGTTGAATATTTTAAAAACATTTCAAAGACATTACCAGATAATACGACCCTTTGAATATTGCAAAAATATTTTGTAAATATTATAGACGTTGATTATAGACTCTTACTGTCAATTCTTTTACACAATCAGAGTTATGAAAATGTTAATTAAATTTTTTTTTTCAATCTAACAATTTGATTTGAGCAAACATGTTTCAATTCAACTGCCTGACAATCAATTCGAGCAAAATCGATCGAAGAATCGAGTCTCTTCGCATGGCATCTCGCGTGTTCTGTAGTGAGGCACGAGCGCTCCATCGAATTAAATTTGCAGAAAATGAAGCTCGCAAGAATATCGTAGAGTGTTGCCTCTACGGAGGAGCTGTGCGGTTTCGTAAGAGTATCGCGAGAAGTGATCCTCGCAACGTGCTTTGCGAAACAAAGCATCATCGTGCGTGAGAATCTCACGGCACCCACGATTATTTGATTCGCCCGCGATCAGCTCGTTCGCGATTTTTCCTCTCCTTTCTTTCTTTTTTAACTCGATCGTGCCAAAGTGCGCCGGAATTTCTCGTGTCGCGGATATGTGACGGGTGGATTTATCGTGCCGCGCGAAGTGGATATTCGCGAAAAACGAATTCGTTAGTTTCGATTTGGTCTTCCTGAACGAATCGCGGATTTTACGATGATGCAGAATACCTCGCCGAGAGGCAGCGTCGGGAGACTCCATTGGAAACGTGAACGTTAATCTCGTCGCGAAGTGAAGTGCAACGCGGGACCAAGGACGAATGTTGCTGGGACGACACAGTTCGATCGACGCGACTGCGATCAACCCCCAGGTGGGCGATGGATTTCGACGCGCAGTGGTGAGTGCGATATTCAAACGCTCACGAAGCGTCACTCTATTATCCGTAGTGCATGCGTAGTTGCAAATCGCATTGATCTCCAACGAAAGAATAGTAAGGGTGGTCTCTCACGCTGCCATCAACCGGAAAAACTTTAGGTTTTAAGTCAACTTCTCTTACATCTTATCAGAATCAGAATTTAACAATTTGAACTCTATAAGCTTGGTTAATGTTGAGAGTTCAGGAACTATGTGAACTGATAATAGGCATGATCCCGATCTCAATTATGCGAAAGCTCCAAAGTACACTCGCGAAAATGCGTCATTTCTCGAACACCTCGCGCGAGAAATTCCACCGGAAGCTACCAGCTTGAAATTGCATCGCGATCTCAAATAATGCTCATCAGATAACATTCATCAAGCAATAACAATCTCACGGAAAGAAAAATTCAGTGGCATTAACGTGAAGCTTTAACGAACGAATCGACGCGTTTTGGTTGGAAGGAACAAAATTTCTGATTCTTAAAACCAGATTTAGGTCATCAGAGAATCACGCACACTGAAAAAAGAATACTCGAAGATTTATATGTGGGATATAAATATTCATAGAAATGAACTTTGTATCCCACAAATAAATTTCCAAGTATTTTTTTCTCAGTGCAATAAATGTTCAAGTATCTCTTCCTCCGCATTCGAACAAAATAATAATGCCAATGTGTTTCATTTTAAGTCAATCGCAGTGGAACTTGAACTCCTTGTCCATGTAATTGTTCTCGAGTAAGATACAAGAGAATTTTATCCGGTTGATCCGCAGTTCAGAATAAGAGCATACTTTCCTGGTCGCTAACGAATCGCGAGCGCCGCGAGAAATTCCATGCAAACAACTCGGTCGATTTGGCCGAAATTGTATATTGTTGCGGAACTATCGAGAAATTCAACAGTTGCCTCGCCCACATAGTTACCGATACTTTCGAGGTAAATCGAGAATGTCCCGGCACAATACTGGGAGCTGTCAATAATTCGCGCCACGCCGCGAAAGAGCGAAGCGTACTGTATGTGTGTGTATGTGTGTGTGTGTATACACGCTGAAAAACTTTTTCCTCGCGTCGCGCGCGTACCAAGCGCGAAACGTCGATGGTTTATGAAATACTCTCGTAGAAGTGCCAACCTGGTACAGCCCCGATAACGGCACGAACACGCCGGCGAACATTTAAAGATAACTCACTCAACGAGTCGCGAATTTTCATCGCGACTCGTTGAATATTATACAATCCATTAGCCTAAAATACACTCCAGTAGAGTGCCAAGAGTGGCATCGTAGATTAAACAGCCTGAGACTCCGTAGACTCGACAAAGTCGTCGTGAAAGCCACCTACTCAAAAATTAAGAAGCCCGAAGTGACTCTTCTGAGAGTCATTCTGGAAGACCACCTCCGAGTGAGTACGCGAATCTTTGAAAGCGCGATGGCCCGGACAATAACCCTACTTGTCAGTATGCCCGAAGAATTCGAAATTTCCAGACGAGGGAAGACTGGATCCAAAGGTCATTGTGAAAATTGATCCAAAGGTCATTGTGAGAGAAACAGTTGGAAAGGGTTTCATAAAATATTTCTTTTAGGGCATAGATACACGTACTTTTTATAAATTTATAGGAAAAATAAGGTCCTATAAATTTTAAATAAGTAGGGAAAATATTCCCAAAATAGATAAAATACACAACGAATATTCTACGTATTTTCGACACTCTTGCGCAAATTATCAAATATTAAAGGGAGGTTCTCAGGTTAGGAGGTTATTCAGATAATCGAATAAATAAGTTTTCATGAATTTTTTTCAAAGGAATGAATAAATATATTAATATAGAATTCAGACTATACTATTTACCTATTTTTGTTTTAAAAGAAACATTTTGCGATTCTTTTCCCTCTGTTTCGCTCGCAATAAAATTAAAGAAACGTATGATCCTTGGGTCAACTTGACCTAACCTGCCGAATTCGCGGCGGCAAACAAGTAAAAGACCCTCGAGGGGATTTCCGATCAACCAACGGCCCCGACGGTCACTAACAGCCAGCCGAGGCATCGGTTAATCTCCAACTCGCAGTGCTAATTCGCGTGGGTTAGAGAAGACAGAAAGTTATTTCTGACTTTGCTGGTAAGACTGAAGCTATAGACCATAGCTATAGACATTTTCCCTACTTTAGTTCCAAAAAAATTTCGCAATTTTTTTCTTACAATAAGTAAATAAAACGCGTGATTAACTTGGTAATAGTATTGTCTTAAAATGAATCAGTGAAACATCACTGAAAACAGTGAATATACACTGATTTGCAGTTATAAGTGTTGCATTTTCAGTGCTCAGTGCTATACTTATAACTGATATCAGACTATTCACTGATTCACTTTAAAAGAGTAGACCGACCTTCCCGAATTCGGGAATCGTGTTAAAAGACTCGAGAATGTTCTCAATTAATCAATAATCCGACATTCACTAACAAGTCGCGGTATCGGTGAATTCCCAACTCGTATTCGCGATGTTAATACGCGCGGGTTAAAGGAAAGAGAGAAAGAGAAGGAAAAAGAGAGAGTTATTTCTGACCTTTGCTGGTGAGACTGAAGCTACGGAGCCTGTAACTATCTTCGTCCTCGCCATCCTCTCGCGGCGGCATCTGCGACGAGGCGTCGGGCACGTCCAGGAAGGCGTTGCTCTTCCTCTGATGCGCATGATGCATACTCTGCCCCCTGCGGCTCCCTCTTCTCCTGATGCCCGGACTGACGTCATTCTCGGTCAGTCTGGGTTCGCTGCTGCAGTGGGCCGACTTCATGGTGCCCTCATGATGATGGTGATGATGATGGGCAGCAGCTGAAATCGACACACACACCGGACTTAATTACCGTTGCGCTCGATATCGATAATTAGCTTCCGCCCGTCCTCGCGTCTTAGCTAAATTATAATAACAATACGCGCGCGTATATCACACCCATGCACAGCCAGAGAATTTATGTATATTCATACTAATCGATATAAATACGCTATTGGTATGCGTGTGTATTAGGTGTACAACTTTGCTTCCGCCGTTTTCCTATAGATGGCTTTAGCGGTAAGTGGTGGTCGAAATAAATAGATCATAAACGTCATACAGTAAACTTGGGCATCTGTCAACATAATCCCATAGAAACATTAGTCGATTTGTGTCTGCATCATAAAGTTATTCTCGATTGAAAATGTCAGTTTACGAGCCAAATTCTAGTCATTTGCGGGAGGTTTTAATTTTCTGCTTCAATATGAAGAAATCTGTGGCTGAGGCTCATCGAATGTCCTCAAATACTTATGGTGAGGCCGCTATTAGTGAAAGAACATGTCGTGAGTGGTTTTAACGCTTCAAGAACTGTGATTTTGACGTTGAAGACCGACATAGCGAGAAGGTTTTCGAAGATGCAGAATTGGAGGCATTACTTGATTAAGACTTGTGTCAAAATCAAGAAGAATTGGCACGATCATTGGGAGTGACTCAACAAGCCATTTCAAAATGCCTCAAAGTCATGGGAATGATTCAGAAGCAAGGAAATTGGGTGCCGTACGAATTGAAATCGAGAAATGTTGAACGGCGTTTGTTTGCTTGTGAACAGCTGCTTGAAAGGCAAAGATGGAAGGGATTTTTGCATCGCATTGTGATTGGGAACGAAAAATGGGTTCATTATGATAACCCCAAGCGCAGAAAATCAGCATGGCCGGGGAGTTCCCGGCCATGCTTCCACGTCGACGGTCAAACCGAATATTCACGGCTCCAAGGTCATGCTCTGTATTCGGTGGGACCAGCTCGGCGTAGTATATTATGAGCTGTTCAAACCGACTGAAACAATCACAAGCGATCGGTATCGAATGCAATTGATGCATTTGAGCCGAGCATTGAAAGACAAACGGCCGCAATACAACGAGAGACACGATAAAGTGATTTTGCAGCATGACAATGCTCGACCCTATGTTGCGAAAGTGGTCAAGACATACTTGGAAACGTTGAAATGGGAAGTCCTACCCCACTCGCCGTATTCTCCAGACGTTGCTCCCTCTAACTATCACTTGTTTCGATCAATGGCACACGGCCTGGCTGACCAGCACTTCCGGTCTTATGAAGAAGTAAAAAATTGGATCGATTCGTGGATCGCCTCAAAAGATGACCAGTTTTTTCGACGCGGGATTCGTACGCTGCCCGAAAAATGGGAGAAAGTAGTGGCCAGCGATAGACAATACTTTGAATCATAAATGTATAACCAGTTTTTTACAATAAATATTTAACATAAAGGACAATTAGAGTTCAAGCACAGGTTGATTAGTGCTATTAAAACTATTAAAAAATAGTGACCCAATCTCACAAAGAGACGAAATTTATTACTTATTACTTAAAGCCTCGAATTTCGGAAAAAAAACGGCGGAAGCAAAGTTGTACACCTAATATATATATATATATATATATATATATATATATATATGTCAGTGAATGTGTGATCCTTCACATCAGCCTTCGCGAATTAAATGACGCGTTAAATCTGTGGAGCGCCGCGGTTTATAATGAGTATCAGAATCCGCTTGCTAATGAGCAGTCTTTTTTCGCAAAAACGGAAAATTCCAGAGCTGAACACGCCGCTTAATTCGTTAACGATTTACAAAGCTGTCACGAGCTCCCGAGCTTTCGATGAATTCGCCTTTAATCTGATTAGCGCGGTCGCCGTTCGTGCGTCTGAACTCGTTTCCATCTGCTCCTAAATTTCATTCAGATTTTACCGACAATAAGAAACGACTATATCTCTCTGTTCCTCTTCCTTCTTGGCTTATTTTCGCAGATTATTCGCTCAAAATTTCGCATTTCATTCTCGCGGCAGCGCATTTACGGCACGTTCGCGATGACGCCAAAATCGCAGGAAATGCATGGATTTTATAATCAAGAGAACTCGGATATTTGAAGGGCTGGAAAAGTTGGTGAAAGATAAAAAAAAAAAAGAGCGGCCGCTAGGACGATCAATGAGACGGAATGGTTCTTTTTCGACTGCGCGCCAATCAGGTTTTCCGGCGAAACGCTCGAGAGCAAAGCAAAGAACGGGACATTTTTCAAAGGTACTACACCTATTACATCGCAAAGCCGCAGCGCGTGGAGGATAGTTTGGTTTCTCCGGAGAGGAAATTCCGCGGGAAACGAAATTAAAGGACGCGAAGGAAAAGATGGAGGAGACACAATGGCGCGGGAAGTCTACGAAATGTTTGCTCCATTTGATCGCGAAATTTATCGCACAAATGAATAATTCCGTCATTCTAATGGATATCCGAGTCTCTCGCATCGGCACGTTGTTCCGATCAAATACTTTAAAGTAAAAATTACTTTATATTACAACTGTAAACGATAAAGATGGTAAATTACCAATATTTATAACAATTATATTAAAACACTGATAGTTTATAGTAAAAAATTATCTGCGGAAATATACGAGAGAAATAATTAAAGTGCAGTGCAATAAAATGCTAATACATAGAAACCGACGGAACAGTCGATCGGAAAAATTCGCTTGCTAAACTTCCGCGATACATTTTAACACGAAATCGCACTGCAGTAACGGCCAATGAAATGCACTGATAATCTTTGTGATAATTCCAAATAATTCCCTTTATATGATTCGGCGCTTTAAACTGAAAGAAAAATATCTAAAATGTGAGAAATATTAATTCCATAGATAGTAACTGATATATATTTACACGTACTAATATTCATATTTCGATATTGAAAAAAATATCTCTCAAATGAGGGAATATATATTTTCTTAAAATACCGTTGCTTTTTATAAAAGCGATTTTTCGTTTTGTTTAAACAAAAGAGCTTCAATTCAAGTCAGTATATCAATACGCGCACTGAATATAACTTTTTTTTATCTTTCGGACAGTTTTTCTCTCTGATTGTAGGTCATTGCAAAATTATCCTTTTCCTTTTCGATATTACAAGCAGCGTAAGGTTTTATTGTTCAAAGGGGAATTGACTGCGCGTTATTCGACTGTGGTATCGTTCTAGTCATGATCAAACGATGGATTGACCTACTAATTAACGGTCATACAGCTTCTGCAATACCGAAACACGCTCACAGACGCAATACACATCCGAAACTGCGCGGCTGTTTATACGTCGACCAAGACAGATTCGTTGGCGCGTTACGTATAAACAACACGAATTACAAACACAAATATTCCCGTTCCTCGTTAATACACATCTTCGTTACATGTTCCGGCGTGTACGCGAGAATACGCGCGGGAGTATTTATTAGACGGAGAGAGCTGAACTTCTAAACTTCGCGAACGCACCGGCAGTGGCGGCGGCTGCGATACGCGGGACGTGTTTGGGCTGTCAGTGACCTACTAGTCAAGCCCACGGGTAACGAGAATAGCAGCCGCAATGATTTCAAGAACTCCCGCAAGACTAAAGCGCGCCTCGCCGATGCAATATCGCAAGCCGCGGGAGTACACTTTGCTCTTTCGCCAGGATCGTACGTCACTGTTGACGTTTCCACGAGTTTATCGGGCTCGGACGAAGTTACGCCTGTGGCCGTGCGCGCTCTTCACGCAATCCCGCCGCGTAAAATAGACCTTCGCGCATTCCCGCTGATTCTATCTCGACGACCGACGACGTTCGTGTCTTGACCATCGAAAAGAGCCCGACACGCGAAACGGTCGTTTGACAATCCCAGACCCCCGACATAGGGTAGAGATCCTCTCGGCCCCCCGCACAGAGGCCGTGGAGATCCTCGAATTGGTCGTAGTTATGCAAGAATGATCCAACCCACATGGAGTACATTTCGAGAAAAATAAGGATGAAGGTTTGATACATGACTCAGAAAATATAAATAGCACTAAGACTCTCTCTCTCTCTCTCTCTCTCTCTCTCTCTCTCTCGCTCCCCCCCTCTCTCTCTTCACAATCGTTCAAGAAGTCAAGATGGTCAATTTTCCTCTCTTTAACTGTATTCGTTGACAAGCTTAACCTTTAAAAAAAATGAATAAAAAAGATGCAATTAGTGAAAATGACGCAACTAATGGAAAATAAAAACTGCACTGAGAGAAATTATTCGATAAGAAATTAAACCGGAATTAAGAAATTAGATGGGATATTTCCGGTCAAAATATCAATGAATTTTTATATTTGATCAGGAAACATCCGATGAGAAATATCGATTTATAAATATCGATTTTTTGATCGTTCTATCTGATGAAATGCGATTATGATCGGAAGTATTCGATTAAATTTAATCGGATATCGGAGATTCGGGGAATTTTGATTGGATATAAAAATTCATCGGTATTTTTATCGGAAACATCCGGTTATTAATTTTTTATTGGATAATTTCTCTCTCAATATGCCTTTTAATTTTAAATGTCCATAAGGCTTAGATCTTTTTTTATTTTAAGTAGATAGACGTATAGATTACCCATTGTTAACAAAAAATGAATAATCATAATTTTGTGGGTTGCATTCTTGCATAATTACGGTTAACTGAAGTGTCCCAAGTGAAAAGTAAACAATAGACAGAGTAGATTGACAGTTGAATCGGTCAGCAGATTTTTCTTATTTTTTTCTTTGAAACTCCCGAAACATATAGAATGTCGACCTTATGGTCTCGGTTTCTCTTTATCCTTTCTCCCCTCAAATGAATCAGTAAAAACGTTTCTGATTGTATCAGCAAAAGGAAAAACTCACCCTACTCACGGCTTTCACCACAATCAGTGAGTAGGATATCGCGGAAACGTCCAGCGACTAGCAGTCGATCTATTTTTGACAGTTTCGCACGGATTTTATCAAACATTCAGGTGTATGAAAATTTATCACTTTATTTATCACTTATTATTTATTATTACTTCTTTATTCTCGTGCACCGTAACGTACACTTTAACATTTGATAAAAATCGTATGAAAATATCAAGTCAAATGCCAGTTCTGCTGGACGTTTCATTCATCGAATTTCAGTGGAAACACTCTCATTTCACTATTCCATATTAAATCTCATTGATTTTGACCAATAAATAACATTTCACTGCAAAATCTGCAATACATAAATTCGTTATACGTTGTAGCAAATCCAAATCTACGTTCGTGGCAATAGAATTAACAATTTTCACGCACTCTGCATGCGATGATACTATCTGTGTTTGTGCAAAATGCATTAACAATGAGAATAGTTGCCACTGTTAACTGTTTCTTTCAACGAGATTTTATTGATTGTAGCTCGACGCTTATAACTGAACTACCAATTATAAGCATAGAACATTTCGGTTAACAATACACTTCACAGAGCTTAGTATTACAGGGCATTACTTTCAGGGTTCACTAGACCAGTTTCAGTCTTTGAGTTTCTTCTTTGAGGAGTTTTAATTATAAGGATTAATATTTCAAGATTTCTATTCCTCTATAAGATTATCCAAAGAATAAGGAGAAAATTTACTTTTAATTACTTTTATAGAATAAATTTAATCATCGTTTCATTTAATTAATATCACGACGAAAAGAAGAGTATACCAAGAGTTAAGAACGAAGAAAAGAATTCCAGATCGTAAATAGCGGCCCAAATGGGGGAAAATAACTTGTACACACAGAAAAAATGCCATTCCACTCTGTTAAGAAAAGCGATTGCTCAGTTTATTTTCCTTCTTTTGAGTAATGGTTATTTTCAACGAAGAGAATCTTATGAAATAATATTAAATAAAATAATATAAAATTATATGAAATGAAATAAATCTTATATGAAATAAGAATCTCATGAAATAAATCTTATAAAAATACTTTGGTTGAATTAACCAAATATCTAATGAAATATGATTAACCGACATTCCGATTGAACTTATCAGAATTCTGTTTAAGTTAACAAGATTTCTGGTTAATCAGCATCTTGTTAACCAAAACTTCTGGTCAACCAGAAGCTTGAATTTTTTGGTAACTTTTCAACTGGAACATTGATTGGTTTATACTTCACCAGATATTTTGTTAGTTCACTCAAAGCTTTTTTCGCACGTGTACGATTTGCGTATATATGCAAACTTATAAAGTACTAAAACTTATAAAGTACTTGAAACAAGCGACACTTGAAAGCGGTACGCATTTTTCTGTGTGTATATCGACAAATCAAGAAATCTCTCCAAATTGTCGGGGTTCGTCGAACCCGTCGGTTTCGCAAACCACGAGGCCTTGATGAAATTCTTAATTAAACGGCGAGATTCCGTCGCTTAGACGCGACGCCTGGCATCGCCAGCATTGCTATCGTTACCTTGGGCGGCGGCACGGCGACGGATGCTTTTATTTCCGCCGGAGACACGAGCGCTCTGGGATCTCGTAGCCGGTCTTCGTCTTCTCGTGGGTGTGCTGCTATCCGGTGTCCCGCTGCCGCTGTCCCTCTCCCGTTCGCCCCGTTCCCTCTCGCGGGCTCCCGAGGGTGGCATCGCTTCCAACATTTGCTCCATGCTGGAAAATCCCGGAGCGCAAATCGATGCCGATCTGGTCTTCCGGCGAAGCGAGTCGTCCGCCATTCCGTCAAATTACCGCGCTGTTCCTTCTTTCCTTCGCGAAGACGACCCGAAGTTTTGCTGTCTTATCTCGACGACTGTCTTCTTCTGACTTGTTGTTCACCCCGGTAGGGAAAAGTCAACCGACCGAGCGACTTGTTCCTCCGCCGCGAGTCACCCCCCGAATCCCCGAGTTGTAACGAAGGCGGACCTATTTCACTGATCGATCACAAACGCGATGCTCGTATTGTTCCACCTGTCTGTCTATCTGTGTGTATATATGTGTATGTGTATTACGTCAACCACACAGTTTCCGCTTCGCGATCCACGATGCACAGTCAGACGCCACGTTTCCGCGGAAAGTTCTGCGCTCGCGAGAGTTTTCTTGCAGTCTCGCCGAGACAATTGTCTTTTTTTCTCGCGAAAAACCTCGCGCCACGCGTGATTTCCGGAATGTCTCTCCGAACGTCGCGGGCCTCTTCCGGTCGTGGAACTCCTCAACAGTCGGATATGCCGCGTACAAAAGTTACACGTCTTGTCCACCGAAGGATACACGTAAGGACGTCACTCACGTCGACGTATCCTGCCTCGCCCCGGAAGAAATATCGCGTTTCCTCCTCGATTCTACAAATAAAATACAGGATGTCATTTCGTTCTCTTCTCGAACCGATACTCTTCTCTCCCTCCCATTTCTTTTCCCCTTCAAGCGCACAAATGGCCGTTGGGCTAATTACGGTCGCGAGGAACTGCATCTCTTCTAAAATCGCCAAGACTGACGACATTTGTAGTCTCTTCCTTGTTTCCTCTTTTTTATATTCTCTTCTCCAACATATTGTCTCTCCCTCTCTCCTCTCTCCCTTCCTCTCCCTCTCTCTCTCTCTCTCTCTCATTTTCTGTTTCTGCCGGAAGCAAACTTGCTAATTAACCCCATCCCGTCGGATGCCTCGATTATTTTACACGTTGCAAACATAATTTTAGAGATATTAAAAATGGAAATGTCATATGTTCTCTCTAAACTACGTCCGTATATATCTTGTCCGTATATATCGATGGAAGATATGAAAGTAATATTTCACAAATAATAAACTCGCTGAATCGCGTTGCGAATTCTTTCTCGTGATGCGAAAGTTTTAGGGAATATAATTTCACGTTTGTATAAACTCTGTACAATTTAGAAATAATACATAGAACATTTTTTTCGTTATTAATTGCCGCACAATCCTTAGCCGATCAAAGCTTAAATATTTTGAATTGAAACAACAAAAAAGGCAAAGTCCATAGAAAATATGAAATTGAGAAGTAAACAAGAAATACGTGAAGATTTGGCTATTTAATATCACTGTAATAATAGCCAGGTGATTAATGCGCGAAAAGCTTTTCATTTGCGGTCGCTTTTAGCATGGAAACCATTAAAGCTCTTAGAGAGAAATCCACTGCAAACATCATTAAAATTTCGTTCGTGTTTGGAGAATTTTTGCGAATGAAAGAGGTGAATCTCGTTTCGTCCGAATGCGTTCACCGATAAAGCGATACCAACGATATTAACGGGCTGAATTTATTTAAAAATTGAAAGCGCTCAACAATTCGAACGTCGCACTCGGCCTTTTCTTCCGAAGATAAGCGCGCGCATTGAATCCCAGAACGTCAGGAAATTACGTAAACCCTAAAAACATGGGTAAATTTTATCCAACGCATTTTCAACTTGCTTACAACTTTCGTGAAAATAATAAAAATTCAATACTATTTTTTATTTAATCAGTGTAGAAAACATCAAAGAATGTGAATCTATTGATGTTTTCGCGATTCAATCGAAGATAGTTCTAATATAAATTCCTGATAAAAAAAGTTCTAATGAAATTTTAACCAACGCATTTTCACTTACTCACAACTTCTGTGAAAATAATCAAAATTCAATGCTTGTTTATTTAATTAGTGTAGAAAACATTGAGGAATGTGAGTCTACTGATGTTTTCGCGATTCAATCGAAAGAAGTTGTAATAAAAAACATGTTTGTAAGTACGGTAACGCTTGGTCTGGTCAAATTTTACCCAAATTTAGAGTTCTAGAGATAAACCCTTTTTACTCTCCTATAAATATATTTTCTTAACGATTGAGAATATTCCAGATTTAAAAAGAGAGAATATTTCAAACCTTTTTCCCTAAACATTGATCGAATTTTATTTATTCTCATTTGATTTGTCTATTAACAAAAATACCAATCCACTGTAGTTCAAATAACAACAATTCACCTTGACTGATGCGACAGCAACGGTAGATTTTGGACTCTCCGAAACATATTGCGTCTCCCCGCAGTAACGAAAGAGTTAAATGCGCGCAAACTCGGTCAATTATTTAGCCGAGACGAAGTCGATTTCGCGAAATCGAAGCGATTGGAGACGCGCCTCGTCTATACTCGGTTAATCCGGATAGAGAGATCGATGACAATATGGAGTAGCTGGCAGCATCCGAAGTTTCTTGATGTAACTCGACGCAGTCAAAAGACACACCGCGTAGACTGTCGAAGCTGTCGAAGTTGGTAAACGCTAAACGCGATACATTGGGAAAAGATACCGGTTACGCGAAGACGTTTCGCCAACTATAATCGAACATCGACAAACGTAAACTCAATCACTGTGTACGAAGTAACATAACTCCGTTTTATTGACGTAGTCCCTCGTTCTCTCTCTTTTCCCCCCTCTCTCTCTCTCTCTCTCTCTCTCTCTCTCTCTCTCTCTCTCTCTCTCGATAACACAATATATTTGGGTGATAACACAATTCCAACTCACAGCTGTCACACAGTCGAGCGCGTACGCAAGCGTCTTTTCTTTCACCGGAATGCAATAGCAAGCGAATTCACGCTACCTGAAATGGCACAGCACTTCCGTTCCGATAACTCGTTCGGCAAGCGAAGCGAGACGTTCTTTCGACTTAACATAAATGCCACTTTCCATCGGAGATTAAGAATACTTTCCGCTTTCGCACTTACACTACTTCCTCCTGCGACCAGTGTCGGGCACGTCACAAGCAATAGCATTGATACACGAATATCAAGGCCACGATTGGCATCTTCTTGAATTCACCATAAATGATGCGCGAGCTCTTAGTTCAAAATTAACGCACTAACTTGCTCTACGATACGTGTCAACAATTGCTTTTAGCTAGTCATCCTTAGTTTTATTATGCTCGCTGTTACAATAAATTAACAACAAATGACAAATAATCGAATATGCAAATTATCGTCGCATTTTCGCATTTTATTTTTCACATAGACACACCGAACTATCGTTACTCGCGACGCACGAGAGCACCAAAGCAATGTGGGACACTTGGCCAGAGAAACGCGATGTTGATTCGACACTCTTGCAACGAGCACTGTGTCTGCTAAAGTTTTGCGATATTTGCGCCCTTTACTACACCCTCTCCATTTAAGTCTCCCGCATGCGCCGTGATTCGTTATTTCTTTCCGATTTCATGTTCCAGCTAATTATAAACGTCGTGTCGAATACTAGAAATAGATTACTCGTATGATACACGCACATTGATGCATAATACATACTTTATAACGCCTTGTTAATTATGTAACTACAAACTGGTAGATTGTGGTGATGTTATCGCGTTTTTATTGTACATGATTTTTTATTAGCTTTGGCAAGAATTCTTTTTATAATTTCTTATTCCGGTTGAATAACATTTGTTATATGCAGATGCGTATATCCTAGGAATATACTTTCTCTTTTCTCTCAGAAAATTAAATACAGAACTTACACAGAAATACAGTAATTAATTATAAAATTAAAATTTGGAATATATTTTATTTATGTACGTTGCACTTATTATTAGATTAAAGTTTCTAAAATATTAGCAGTGTACATTTTTAAAGAAATATCAACTTGTTGTTGATACCTAAAATATCAACATGCATACCATACATTCTTCTGAAAAAAATTTTTTTATTATAGAACGTTCAGTTTATGTAAAATTTATTGCTTCGAATATTATAATGAGTTTGTGGATATTTTTTAAGTAAAATACGTTACGTTAACTATATAAAGAATTTTTAGTAGAATCGTGTATCTTTTTTTGTAAATCTAATCTAATTTAATATTCCGCTTGTTAATCACGTTATAATGTTAGCGTGTTTTCTGAATGTTTCTTCTTTCATGTAGACGCGCCATAAGCAATAAACCCAATATTTACCTGTAACACAAGTTCCGCGTTGTATTAGTTTTTTCCTAAGTAACTTTCTCCTAAAACGCACTCATGCCTTAAACGTATACGTTAAACATACATACGCATAATTTAAATTTTACGATTCATTTATTTATTAATAAATAATGCAACGTTTATAATTATTTTATTTTTTTCAGACGTCTGAATTTTTGTAATATTTAAATAAATGTATCACAAGCTTTTATTAAATTGTGATTTTCGCCTTTAAGATCGGTAGTCGGCTTTTATTTGCCTTATTCTTTATTTGCTTTGATACGATCAGTCACCACTCAGATTTTTTCATTCGCGTTTGTTATGTACTTTGGTATTATTTTAACGCCACTGATAAATTGGAATGATCGCAGGCGATGATACTCTACGAACCAAAATAGGTC